GTCTTTCTTCTAACTATTTGTTAAAAAAAATTCTTCGGCATTCTAATGAAAATCTGTGATTATAGCTCTTGTTTGTCTTTTATTTTAAAGAAACTATTTTTTTTCAGTTGCTAGGGTAGTTTTTTCTTTGTACTACAGTCAGCACAACAAACATTATGGTTTTACATACATTTATAAATAAAGGATATACCCAATGCAAGCTGGTAGGTCACCTTTAGTGAAAGGTTTCCTGTAAACAAAATACCAGAATAAACCCAAAGAAACCAGGGAATAAAATGTAGGCTAATGTGGAAGTCATATTAAGTATTCCTCACAAACTGTGATATACGCAGCAGCCACTGCATGTTATTCAGAGCTGCTAATATGGACACTGAAACAAAATTGCTGTGCAGGTGCTGGTTTTTGATTTAATAAATAGTCTGTACAGTATCAAACTATACAAAAAGTTTAAAAACCACAATGAGAATTATTATATTTTAAAAATTTTCCCATATTGTAAAAATTTTTAAATTAGGTCCAAACCGCCATTAAAAAAGGTATGAAATGTGCAATTTTTGCAAATGGAAACAAGTGGCACAAGAAGGGTTCTATAAGGGTTAATAAGTGTTACTTTGTGATTTCTGTTTGTTTCCAGTATCTTCATATACCTGGTAATCACCCAGACCTCAGAGCATTTCTCTTCAGGCAACTAGGACGTGAGCTAAAAGTATCATCACTGTTTTCAGTACGGAAGATTGGCTGCAATAAGAATGAAAGGGCTATTTTAAGAGACAGTACAGTACAGTCTATTTATGTAAATACTCGGAAAATGCAGGAACTAAATTGTTTTCTAACTACAGAGCTGTGAAATCAGTGAGCCATATAGATCTATAATGTATGGCAGAATATTTTAATATCCTAAACCTTCTTGAAGGAACACTGTTGTAAAAGTCTGCATCTAGAATAACATGAGTACTTGTGTCTTAACCAAAAGCTGCAAAAATTATATATTGCCAAATATACTAAAATTAATGTAACTCAATATTTTTAAAAGGTAGTAATCCTTTACACTTATTTCTCACAAAGCATAGAGTGAGGAACTGATAATTAAAGGCAATATAAATAGCAGGCAAGATGAAACAGATGGCTGTAACATAATTCTTGAGTCTTAACTGGCACTTAACACTAACTCTATTTTCAATTTGACAAATACAATAAGACACCTATGTTGACATACATGTGGTGCACTTAACTACTTTTATTTATGTAACTGAGGTATTAAAATTGTCTTGAAAAGCAGACACCTAAAGAAGAAAAAATGAGGAGGAAGAGAACAGTAGTAATTGTTTTCGGTGTTCAGTGATTAGTAGTTTTTTTTTTCTTCCAATACCCTTATAATTATAATTTCCACTCAGTCTCTGTCTTACTCCTCCACTAGATAGGTAGCTTGGGAAGATGGGAGGAAATCCACCATTTTTCAGCAAGAATTAGTTACGAGGACTTTGCTAAGCTAAAAGTGTGTGTATCTCACACGCTGCATACAGTACACTTTTAATATATACATTGTCATTGTGCACAAGCATCTCATATATACACTGATAACACCTTCACTAGGAAATTAAAAGTCAATAGATAATGAACCTTGTGCCGTATCTTCTCTTCCTCTAACATAGATTTCACATGGAATCTCCTCCATCACCCTGTCTTCTATGACTTGCTCAGGGCAGTCATGAGCTTGTTTGAAAGTGTAACTACTTTTCTTGAATGTGCTATTGAATGTTTTCATTGGCTGAGGCTGCGCAAAATCATTGCGAAAGGGAAGTTCCATGGAGCTGAGGTTTGTCCTGCTTTGTTTTAGATTAGAGGCCTGGGAGCCACAGTGGTGGTCATGAATGCATCTGGAAGCTGTTGAAGGGCGTCTCATTTTCTGATAGTTTTCAAGTTCTTCTGATAAATCTGCCAAATCTGCAGAAATTTCTTTGTCCCTTAGTGAAAATAGTTCATAGTGTGGAGGATCAAACACTTCCTGGAAACCAGTTTTATTGAAAGCAGTCTTGCAAGCCATAACCTTTTTGCGAGGTTGCTTTACTTGTACTAGAATTGAAATGATGAGAAGAACTAAAACTATCCCTGATGTGATGCCAATTATTGTTCCATGAGTTTTGGTGATTTGTTCAAACAATCCAGTTTTTTTCTTTTCTGCAAAGAAAAAATGAGGATTAAAGGCTTTTATTTTCCCACCTTTTGACCATGTATTAAAGCAAAGCAAGCTGTATTGTGATTGCCATATAAGTGTCATATTAATGAAATAACTTAAAGGCACCAGAGACTAGACCTGTATGTCAATGGGATTTACTACGGGATCTGTGCATTTGTTCAGCAAGTTTAATTCCCCATCTGCATTAGTGGCTACCATATGATAATTCAGTGGCAGGTGGAACCCTGTGGCCGGTGCATGCTGACTGAGCTGCAATGTGGCTTCAATCCTGAACCTATTTTTGATATTTTGATATTTGCTTCATATCCCAAAATCCACAAGTTAAATAGGAGTTTATACAGCTCCAGATGATGCTTCTCTCACTGTGGCTTGTTCCTGCTGGTAACATTCCCATTGACGTCAGTAGAAGGAAACCCAGATTTAAAATTATCTAGTTCTTCTTTAAAAGTGAACTATCATAGTGATGATGTGTAAGATTGAATTACTTGTTTTCATATCTCTTGGAAGTTTAATGTGTCTATTGTGTATGTCTGTTATACCTATTTCAACATGGTGAGCTTTAGCATAGATATATTTCTGGTTTAATAGTTGAGTAATCAAGTCAGTTGGGGGAAAAAAAGGGGGAGGGGGCCAGGGGTGAACCAAGCAACCCAAATCATATGGCACTTTTGGCTAGTACTTCATATGAAAACACACAAGATGGCAGCATCAGAACAAGAAGGTTTCTTATACTTGAAATTCTTATTTGAAAATTAAATATTTCTAGTTGGTTTTCTGTTCTGTAAACTTACTTGTCCTAGGAGAGTGCTAGTGGGGGAGAAAAGCATTTAAGACCAGATCCCTCTGCAAAGCCTTCCTACCCTCAAGGAGATCAACACACGTGCTAAATTTGGTATCATCAGCAAACTTACTGAGGGAGCACTCAATCCCCTCATCCAGGTCATTGATAACGTTGTTAAACAGGACAGGCCCCAAAACTGATCCCTGGGGAACACCACTGGTGACCGGCTGCCACCTGGACTTCTCCATTCACCATGACTCTCTGGGCTTGGCCATCCAGCCAGTTTTTTATCCAGCAAAGGGTGTTCCTGTCTAAGCCATGAGCCACTAGCTTTTCTACGAGTATTTATTAGTGGTGTGACTTTTTTTGTTTGCCCCAAATGCAATTTCAAAGTAGTTTTAAAAATATTTATTTACTAAAAAATTTAAGCTGGATTTGTGTGTTGAAAAGGCATTTTATTTCAAGTTTTTTGGGTTTTTTTTTAGAGAAGGTTTTGACCTTTCCTGTGGAGTCAATTTCTCTTTGAAATGGAGTACCTATTTAAATCTTTCTGGAGTTCTGTGTTCAGACCTATTTATGGCATTCTATTTGTCAGAGCAACCCAAGCTCAAGTTTGTTGTTTCATTTGCTTTTAGCAAGAAAAATTGTTGACCTTAAACTGGCTTTGTTCCAACTCTGAAAAGTCAGTTATTGTTGAAACACAGGTGAATATATTTGTGCTTTAGCAGAAAAACAACTTCCTCAAATCAGAATTTTTCCTACAAAACCTGATATTGAAACAAGTCTTTACTGTTGTTTTGATGGCTTAAACAAGACTCCCCTGCCCCATGCTCCAGAAGCAGTGGTTTACATGTGTCGGTTTCCCATAAGTGATGCCTTCTTGCTTTCTAACAATTCCTCCTTCTTCCCACCCTTTCTCACACTGTATGCAGCAGCTGCATTACTCTGATATAGTCTGTGATTAACAACTTAAACCAAATGTTTTTAAATTGTTTTTGTCTTTCAAGATTGTTGCTTCTATTTCAGCCCTGAGAAAGGCTTTTTATGCTTTAAAGGCTTGTCTGTCTCTTTCCAGCTCTGTATTTTTTCTCTAATAAAAAGTATTACCTGTCTCTACAGTCCATGCTTTGTTTAAAGTCTAGAAATGGATTGGATGCAACCTGGCACATACTAAATTCTATTTCCTATTAAACAGATATCCTTTTAAAATAGAGTGCATATGCTGAAGAGGAAGATCAATATTCAGGATGCTTACGTGTCTCCTGAGTTTAAATAAAAAATTTGGAACAACTTCCTGAGACTAGCAGAATAGCTGTCTTCAGCGTATTTCTAGGAAAAAGACATTTCATGACTGACTTGAAAGGCAAACTGACCAGCCTAGCTCATAAAGGCTATACTTTGCACTATATTCACCTCTGCAGTGATTCTCATCCCAAGGGTATGCACAGTTTTGAATGCCATTGCAGACTAAAGAATTATTGATGCACATGTTGCTATGGCAGAAATAAGTGTTGCCTGAGCAGGGAGCTGCAGGAGAGAAGAGAAAAAAAAAATTAGGAATTTTCAGTAATTGATTCATTGCAATAAAACTAATAAATTCCTGTTATTTTTTTAATATGCATACTCATTCTTTATCTAGTTTCAAACACAATTGCTTTTCCTGCACATCACTAATTATCAAATGATTTATGCTCTCTTCATATGGTTGCTTTCAGGTGCATTATCAGTGCTACAAAAAACCCAGAATTCTTGCTCAAAATGGGTAGCAGATAAAGACAGTCACACAACACAAATAATGGAAGCAGGCTTTAATACTTGTCTTTAAAAACTTAATACTTAAAAATCACATGCTCGCCATCAATTATATATTTATTCAATCTGCTCTGCATCTGCTATGTACATGGTTTAGCTGATTGTGAAGCAGTTCCAGAACATCTGCATTTTAGAGCCCATTAATATCTTAAGGCAAATCAGATTTCAGCTTGTGGAGGTCTGCTTCAGTAATTGCAAGAGGCTTCAGTAACTGCAGGCATCTAAGTCATTCCTGCTGGTGAAAATCTTAGATCCTCCCATTTGGGCTAATGCAGGGATTAAGACAGTACAGTTCAGCTTTTCATCTATCTCTCTATACATAGCTAGAAATTTGAAGAAAAAAATTAACTGGAAAGTTGCCTTAAAGATTTTGTTTCCATGATTGTTTGTTATAGCTCCTTGACATTAAAAAAAATTAAGAAAATATTAATTATTTTCAGGATGTTGTATAATACACATAGGGAATACTTTATGAATTCAGGGTACTAGACAAGAAATTGTTATTACCTTTGTCTCAGTAATGTGGTATTTTATTATAGAAATGGTTATTAGTGGAGTCAGCTATGTACTAAACAGCAAAGGTGTGTGATAGACATTCTACTATTTGGTTTCCTAGAAAGCTTATTTTTGAGCAGTCTGAATCCTCTGAAAAATAATGCAAAACCCAAAAGGTACAGCAGAGGACTAGTCCTGAATGCAGCATGTGTCTCACTTATTCCTTCTGTTAGGCTTCAGAGTCTCGGTGACAAAAAGGAGTTATGCCTAAGTGAAGCAAATTCAAACCTTTAATTCTGAATTTGCATTCCCTAAATCTAATATGCATTGTCTTCCCATTTCTTACTCCACTGAATTTTGGTAACCTGCACTCGCTGGTTTTAAGCTTTTGTATTAACTTCCTGTTATTACTTAACACCTGTCAACCTGGCAAGAAGTTCCATAGAGGAAGCTTGTGCTTTAATTGTAGCACAAGTGCTGCGGTACCCTAATGTAATACAGAATGTATTTTGAGTGTATTTTGGGAAAGGTTATCTATGCAATTTCAGTGTTTAAAAATGTCACATCATGTGAATCTTCCTCAATCAGCTGAGTTGAGAATTTAATTGTTTGGAAAGTAGATTTAGTCTGAAGGACAATGCTTTAAAATATGATCAATGCTTAGGAAGGTATAAATCACACCCACTGCATCAGTTATGAATGAGATGTCATGTTAGGTGCAAGCAGGGTCAGGTACCCTAGGAGGAATACAGACATAGTGAGTGTGCAGGGATGGGGCTGGGAAAACCCAAGCCTTCTTGGAGTTGAGTATCGTGAGGGACATGAAAGGCAACAAGAAGGGCTTCTTCAAGTCTATCAGCAATGAAAGGAAGGCCAAGGAAAACACAGGCCTACTATTGAATGGGACAGAGTGGAGCTTCCCTCAATGCCTGAGAAGGTGATAGAAAAAATAATACTGGAAACCATTTCCAAACATAGGAGGGATAAGAAGGTCAGAGGGAGTATTCAGCATGGATTTATTGTGAGGAAATCATGCTTGACCAACCTGATTGCCTTCTATGATTAAATTACTAGCTTAAATGAGAGAGAAGTGAACATTGTATATCCTAACTTTAGCAAGGCTTTCAAAACTGTATCCCATAATATCCTCGTAGAGAAACTGATGAAGTACAGACTACACAGAACGACAGTAGACTGAAAACTGACTGAACTGCTGGGTTGCGATCAGAGGCGCAAAGTCCAGCTGGAGGCTGTCACTATTGGGTGTACCCCAGGGGTCAGTAGTGGGGCCAACACTGTTTAACCTCTTCATTAATGACCTGGATGCTGGGACAGACTGTGCCCACCGCAAGTTTGTAGATGATGCAAAACTGGGAGGAGTGGTTGATAGACCAGACAGTTGTGCTGCCATTTGAGACAGGCTGGAGACAGGAACTTCATAAAGTTCAACAAAGGTAAACACAAAGTCCTGCAGCTATGGAGGAATAACTCCACAACTGTGTACAGGCTGAGGGCCAGCCATCTGGAAAGCAGCTCTTGTTTGTCTTCCAAGACAAACACTTGGAAGTCCTGGTGGAGAATAAGTGGAACACGAGGCAATGATACATCCTTGTAGCAAAAAAAGCCAACAGCATCCTGAGCTGCTTTAGGAAGGGCATTGCCATCAGGTCAAGGGGGGTGATTCTTCCCCTCCGCTCAGCACTGGTGAGACCACAGCTGGAGTGCTATGCTCAGTGTTGGGGTCACCAGTACAAGAGAAATATGGGGGGGATCCAGGGACATGGCATGAAGATGAAGACTTGGAGCATCTGGCATGACTAGTATGGGTTGTCCTGAGTGGTTCTGGAGTCTCCATTCTTGGAGATATTCAGCAACTGACTGCATATGGTCCTGCAAAACCTGGTCTTCTTGATTCTCTCTGACGACAGAGACTTCCTAGTTAGGCTTCTAAATCAACAGCCTTTTTTCAAGAATGTTTTATACCCACTTTCTTTCAAGGGCCGAACTGTTTTTCAGTGGGCCATAATTCAGTGCGACTTTTTTTTAAGTTCAACCATGCAATTACATGGTAAATGGAAGAATAAAACATTTTCCTACATTCAGACTTAACTGCTTCACCAACTGCTACTGTTTAGGAAAGAAAATATAAAGGAACCTGGTTGTTGTGTGGTCAGTGTCCCAAACTATCACCTACAACGTATCAAGAGTAGATGCCAAGGTAATTGACATCATTAATTGTTTAAGGCACCATGTAAGCTTTATTCTGTGAGCATCATATGAAATCATGATTCATCATGATGTGAGCATTATCTGAAATTATGCTGCAATTAAAATACCACAGGGATTCACACCTTTTCCCTGAAGGACTAAATGGTGACAGGCAAGAGTATCAATCTAAATATAAAAACTGGTATCCCAGACAACCTAAAGCTATTCATAGAAACAGGAAGATGCAGTCAACATTTCTAATGAGTGTATGTATATATATAAAGGGAGAAAGGCTAATAGTTAACATGGAAGTATTCACGATGCAGACCACAGAATAAAAGGCTCTTGGCCTTATTAGCACATGTGGGCAGAAAAGATGGAAGGTAGTTTTTCCTTCTGAATTTGGAAAGAAAGATTGCACAAGCTTTACTTCATAAAGGATAAACAGAATCACCGTTTAAACAGAACAGCTTTAAAAGGCCATGTATGTAATAGGCTACAATATCTACTGAAATATTTCTGACTGTGAGATAAAGGAGGATCTATGAAATTGGTGTCCAGAGTGGCTGTCATGGATTCATGTGTATCTGCTGGTGTTTCAATATGGATCGATATGGAGTTGTAGTTCTTTTGGAGGCAGAGGAAGAATTATGATGTAAGACACATTCCCTTTCTTAATTCCCTGAAGAGGGGAGTTTTTTCATGTTTCTGTATTTTTTAGATGATGTGTTCTGCTGCTGCTTCTCCATCTGCCAGCATAGTCTCTATTTTACATTCCTGTGTAGTCTCTTTAACACTTTTTGGGGGGTTGCTTTTGTTCACAAGTTCCTAAAGATGGGACAAATGGACTTCAGTTTCCTTTTGTTATTTTGGGAGTACAAACTCTGAAAGTCACACCGATTGATTGGTTCCAGTCCAGGACTTCAAGGACATAGCTGGACTCTTCTCTGCTGTTATACAGCTGCCTAAGACTGGTGCAATGTTCAGAGTGTTCTTTATATCTAGCATTATTCATGTATTTAATCAAGCTAGAAATCAAATACATTGATTTTTAACATTGCTGTTAGCTGAATTACTTAGTCAAATTTGCAAGCAGCACTAGGTGTGTGTTAGGCGACTGTCATGCACAATTAGTTCATTTATGTAAATCTTTTCAGAAATATTGATTGTTTTCACGGTTGGCTTCATATAATTACAAATCATTAGTAAGGTAGAAGAGAAAAATAGCTTAACGGTCTGAAAATAAGATAAGCATGGATTCACTTTTTTCAGTTAGAAAAATTGCTTATCACTAGATTATTTCAAAATACATGGAATGTTTTTCAAACACATACTTTTGAATTACCCTATCCACGAATGACAGTACCTCAGGTTAGAAGATAAATAAGAATAACCATGCACCTTTGCAGATTTTCTTCTGCCAATTACTTTTGAGTTGCTTTAAAATCATAATTTTGGAAAGATATCTAGCTTTAGGAGTAGTTACTGTTTCAACCTCTTGCACTGAACAAACAAACAAACCAACCTCCCCCCCCCAAAAAAAAAACCCAACTAAAAAAACAAACCCAAAAAAAAAAGTAACTCACAAAAAATGCTGAAGAAACCCAAACTCAACAACAACAAAAAAAAATACCACTCCAATATTTATAATAGAAATGGATAAGCTCCCTGACAAAGTTCATAGCATTTTCTAGATTTAAAGCTGGAATAACTTGCACTATCACTCATATCAATAATTGTATTGAAATAAAAGCTACTGGAAAGGCAGTATAAATTTTGCAAGCAAGTTGTGCCTAATATTGATATTTACTGAAATTCACGGTATCTGAAGTTTATTATTATTTATTGTAGGTTAAACAATAGACTAGTCTGAAACATGCAATCCTTTCTTACTATCAGGTACACAATATAAGCAATAAGCTATTTCTCTTTTAAGTGTCTGCTACTTTAGAAAGATTGTTTTACAGAAAGTAACTTTTCTCCTTAGTTAAACTTCACTGTTTTATGGATTAGAATATAAAATCTACTTGTACCTGTAACCTGAACCACTTTGCAAAGTGGTGACCAGTATCCCTTTCAGGACTGGCTACAGACATGTTAGTTCTGTCAAAAAGGTGGTTTATTTGACAGCAAATCTGTACTATTTATTCTTCAAGCAGAACTTTTTGAAAACCTTTAGCACAAGCACAGGTCTGATTTCCTGAAGTGGCAGATACATTTCATTCGGCTTTCCCCATGTATCTCAGGTCTGCTCTGCAGTTCAAAACTTAAGTCTACTTTTGTGCTGAAGATGGCAATTATTCAGGTTCTGCAACATGGACAATGCTGTCCCTCATAAATATGTGAGGCAACAAAATTCCGTTAAGTTCAGAGAGAAAGCACTTAGAGGAAAATCTCACAAAAAACATGCTTTCAGGAAATTAATTTGCAATGAGAATAAAGACTCTCTAACTCAGGCTAAGGAATCCAGATAGAAATCCTGATTGCATTTACAGCTCTGCTTTTAATATAGCCTCCTTAAATAAATTTGAATTTAACTGCTTATCCATGGTTGTGCAATACAACTGGGCTTTCCTAGGAGGGTGCGTGTGGGATCGTTTAGAGCCACATGTGGCTGAGAAAGAGGCAGCAGCTTAGGTGTAGCTGGAGTGGGTGTAGTTCCAGATCCAGAACTGAAGGTAGAGCTATGGATAGGAAGAAGATCCAGACTCTGCAGGGTCACTTGTGTTTTCCAGCCGTTTGAACATCCAGCGTGGGCTTGTGAAGAGCCTGTTGTAGTGTCTGGCAGGGAACTGGAAGATGGGGGCTAGTGGGAGAGCGCACTTCAGTCCCATTGCTGTCTTTTTAGGCAAGTCTGTGCTCATTTGTAGAACTCTTTGTGAGAAGGGCACAGCCTAGGGCTCTATTATTACTGAATTCAAAAGAAAAACAGACCTTTTAAGAATGGAGGAAAGCCTTTCTTCAGGAACCATGCTTATAACAAATAATAAAGCAAGTATTTAATTTACCTGCTAGTATGTGAAGGAAACAGAAACAACATTTTTTGTGTGTTCCTGCTGTGTAACATATAGCTGATGCTTTTCCTAAAATACCTGAAGATACCAGGATAGGCACTTGAAAAGCTACTTACGGTCCACAAATGAAGTGAACAGCATTCTGAATCTGCTTAGTCTACTGCCTTCATCTGCCCACATTCGTACCACACCTGTCCCAGTCTGCAGCATGACATCATTTGCTACAGTGCTGCAGAACTTTGCCTTCAGGTTTTCAATAGAACTACTTCCATCATATACAGCAACAAAGTTTCTTTTGCATTCATTTGAATGCTCCATTTGATAGTCGAGAAATCGCAAATAAATCTGTTAAAAAAGAGAAATTAATGTCTCTAGGAAAAGTAATACAGAGAAGACAGTTTTATTTCTCAGCGAATTTTGAATAAGATGTTTTGTTCCCATGCATATGTGTAACTCTCAATTCGCAACATTCTTAAACTTAGATTTTCTCATTAAATGTCAATGTGGACTACTACTTGAAATTTGTCTGAAGTATCTTTAGACTTCTTCCCCCCTCCCCAAAACAGTCTTTATAATTTACTCTGATATATTTCCTCTCCCATTGGAGAAAAGTAAACAGCAATACACTTGCTGAAGGAAATCCTAAGCACCTCTGCTAAATATGCAGTCTATGGCTCTAGAAGAGACACAAGAAACATATAAATGTGCTGAAAGTATTTTTTATGGTATTTTGACAGTTCTCTTTCCTTTTTAATTCATAAAAACAATGTTAAAACATAAGGGAAGCAGTCTAGTCACAAAAGCTCTGAAGTAAAATAAGGAAATCAAAATTTGCTGAAGGCTTCTATTTGAATTCTCAAAATTCTGGTGCAAGTAGTAACTAAGTCACCTAAGCATGCTGTAAAGTCCATCTTTCACCTCTAAAAATTCCTCAGCCATTATTTTGACAGGGAAGAAATCTCTCCATGCGGAGGCTGAGGTCTTCTGCTCCAAGGCAGAAGAGGTGCTCCTCCTCTACCCATGAGGTCTTCAGCATGTCTAGACTGCATGCGTTTTGAGTGCAGTTTACAATTACCTCTCTGGCTGATACTGTGGATGCCAAAGAATCTTTTGCACGGTGTGGTTTTTCATGCATTTGCCTAATGACAAGAATCTCAAACTTTTTTTTAGGTTGTGAAGCAGGGAAGACAGGGTAGATTAAATACCATGCTTACTACAGCTATATTACCTATTTTTCTGCCCTGTTGCCATATTTCACTTTTAACCTCAGCTAGTGCCAAAGTCTTTTAAAACTTAATTTTAAAGAATCTACTAAAACAAAACCAACCACCTTGGTGTGTGTGGGGGGGAAGATAACCCCCGCATACACTTAACAAGCTCTATTGAAAACATGGTAAAAAAGCACAGTAAAAGACAGGTGGCACTTGTACACCCTGGCTCTTCCTTTCCAGTGTTTTCCAGAGGCAGGTTGCCAACACTATCTCCTCTTGCACATTCTGTGGAAACATACAGCCTGTGCCATGCTGCATTTCACTGTTTTGTGATTTTCAGTATATTTTTTCTTCCCCTGCCTCTTTTTTTTTTTTTTTCCTCTGCTTTGTTAGATTTACTGCTACATTGAGATCCTGTCTTCCATTGATGTCTTATCTCGCTAACATGGGTGTGAGCTATAAGTGCTAGTATTTGGGCTGAGAGATGGCATTTTCATTTAATGATTGACTTTATCTGCTGTGAAATTACAATGGAAGCTAAAAATAAATTAGCACACTTTTAGTAGAGCTATTCTGTATATGAAAAAAAAGGAATAATTCCATTAAAAGGGCTCAGCTCTGGTTAGTGCGTTAGGCAAGTAAATAAAAAAGGTCCTCACTCTTACACTTTATTGATTATTCTAGTAATTTTATGAAATCTGGAGATAATTTATTAGATATCTGTTATGCAGATTGTAAAAATCCTTTCATTTCTGCAGTTGCGTCAGTTTTAAAAATATATCACAGAATCACAGAAT